CATTGAAGTGATTATCTATAAATTAAGAATAAAAGAAATCAATTAATCATTTTTTAGGTAACAAATTAGTATAAATTATTGAAGTCAGGTGAGAAATACAAGAACTTTTATGTATGTAAAGCAATAAAATATATATATATATATATATTATCCAAGTCAATCGTATGCTAAGACTGTTGGACCCCATTTACCCGATCAGAGAATCAGACTACCATCCTGGCCTGGTTTTAACAACTATGTTTTCAATAAATAAATTAAATAGCTCCTCATGAACCCTAATTTCATTCCTCAAAACACTCTCATACTAACTCCCTAGCACTGCAAAACCAACTCTGGTTCTCTGACAGAGTGACAGATTTGAAGAATAAAGATCCCGTTTTTTTCTTTTTCTTTTTATAAGCGAATGAAGATCATGCATCATGAACACGAAGAGAAGAAGAAGAAGAAGAAGAAGAAGAACAGAGAGAACCGACTCTGAAACCCAATCTTTTGATTCGAGAAATTGGATGATTTATTGGTGCTTTCCCCTGATTCAAGAAAATACAGTACATCGTCACAGCCTCTGATTCATTCGCCGAAGACAGCACCATTGCTAGGGTTTGGAGGGATGAGATCGATGGCGACCGATTGGTCCGTCATTGCTAGGGTTTCCAAAACACGTTGGAGTTGAGAGAGAGAGAGAGAGAGAGAGAGAGAATTGATTACGGGGGCAGAGGGGCTCGAATTCGATCTGAGATGTTTTTGATGTTTGATGTTTGAGGATAGTTATAGGAAAGGCCATAGAAGCGATCAATTTTTAGGTTTTGACTACAAATTCACAAATTTGAAAATTCTAATTTGTCTGTGTTACCTTTTCACCCTCAACTAAAACGATTGACCCGCTTTCTCTCTCTTTAATGTTTGATGTTCATGATGGTTAACACAATGATGTTCTATTTTATGGTATTTTTTGATGTTCATTAATCAGTGTTTGGCTGAGGATAAAATATATCCATCGCTGAAGTTCGAACCCATAAAATGATTAATGATCGATTTTGATGTTGGAAATTCAGAGGAATTTGAGATCTGGGTATCTTTTGAAATTGGGTCTTGAAAGAGAGAGAGAGAGAGGGGGGGTACTGGTTGTTTGATGATGTTAATGTTGCAGAATCTGTGTTTAATGTTTGATGTTTAATTGTTATTTTAAAAATTGTTTAATCGTTATTTTGATGTTGTTTTGATGTTGGTGTTGTGATGTTTGATGTTGTTTTGATGATGATGTTTGATGTTGTTTCGATGATGTTACTTATAAATCTGATGTTTGATGTTTGATGAATAATGTTTGATGTGTGATGAATAATCCTACTGTTTAATGGTTGAGAATCTGTGTTTGATGTTTGATGAATGATGTTTGATGATGATATTGTGATGTTGTTCGATGATGATATTGTGATGTTTGATTTTGTTTTGATGATGATGTTTGATGTTGTTTTGATAATGATGTTGTGATGTTTGATGTTGTTTTGATGATGATGATGTTTGTTTGATGTATATGCCCTTTATGGTCAATTTTCCTATAATAGCACCTTTCAGTTTATAAGAAAACTTTTAGGACTAAACAGTGTATAAGTTGTTAATTTGGGATTTATTGGTGCATCACCCTATAATCAAACATATAAGGTAAAACCAAAATAATAATTACACATTTAATCAACAAAAATATATCTACTATTAAAATTACTAAACTAACCTTCTATTAACACTGTTAGTTACAATAGAGATCAGTGTAATTTCACAAAAACGAGGGGAGGCCAGAGTAATTGTGAGAACCTTCAAGGACAAATAACATTTTGGAATTTAGTAGTTTTTTTTTTTTACTCCAGTTTGTGAATAACGTCGGAGTTCACGTAGGGTTGAAAAACTTTGATTGTTTTATTTGTGATAAAATTTGATCTCTAGGGCATTGATGTGGTGTCTTAGCGTTGCAATGGTTGAAATCGGAGTACGAGGAAAGATTGAACATCAAATCTTTGCCATGCCTACCATCTGTTTGTTAAAATGTTTATATATAGTGGTCAGTATATTGGGTTATTTCGAGTTGTTTTCATAGAGTTTTTGGGAGTTTTGCATATGTGTGTGTAACAACCCTCGTCACTGTTTACCGAATAACCACTGATTATCGTTAAACTGAAACTGATTATGACTGATAAGTGAACTGAATAAACTGAGACTCTGACTGACTAATAACTGAAGTAATTGAACTGATTGAAATACTAAACTGACTGTTACTGTCTCTCTCCTTGCCGAAGAAACTGAACCTTTGCCCTGCACACCTTTCTCCACCAAGTAAACCATCAGTAACGCCCAAGTCTTAAGGGCGGTCAAAAATGGGGTGTCTACAGCGGCCGAACCGGAAACCGATTAGTGTTTTATGATCATCGTGATTTATGTGATTTTATGGTGTAATTACCTGAAAACTGATTAGGTATGATTAAATTAGATTAAAATAAGTTAAATTGCAATGTTACACTTATTTACCATTAGTGCCACTTAGTGGCCACTACCTAACACATATGGAGCCTTGTACAACACTTGACCAACAAAATTCACGAGCCATTTTCATTGTTTTGCTGACCAAGAGAGTTAGAGGGAGAGAAATTGAGTTCTAGATTGTGTTTTGTTTGGAAATTGAAGAAATTGTAGAAGAGATTGCATATTTGAGCTCCCTTCTAGGACTACAAGAACTAAGGTAGATCATTGACCTTCTTTATTGTGTATTTGAACTTATTCTTGCATAATTCTTGGGTCTTTAGTGATTTAAGGCATGAATTGGTTCAATAGTGTTGAATTGAAGCTTAATCTTTGCATACATGGCATACTCTTGCATTTTTGAGGTTGTTCTTCATGGATTTTTGCATGCATGTCCATGTTAATGCTTAGGACCATGTTTTCATCTTGTTTTTGGACCAATTGGCTCCTTAGAGCATGTAATTGAAGCTTTGAAATGGTTTTAATCCATGTATGTTTGCATGTTCTCCATATTCATGAAAATTGGTTTGAATTGAGTTGTTTGAAACACCCTTGGGCTTTGATTTTACAAATTGAGCTTTGAATCATGTTAAACTATGAGTTTTGGGATGTTTTTTGGAAAATTGGCCCAAAAGGATCGAAATTCATGTTTTAAAACTTAGTTTTGAGCTTGAGGTTCAAATCTGGAATTTTCAGAATTTGGACTCACGCTCGAGCGGGGTGACTGGCGCTCGAGCGTGGGAATCGTGCTCCCAGCATTTTGTTCTGTTTTGAATTCCGCTCGAGCGGAAGAATTGACGCTCGAGCAGGGCTTTGTGTCTCATGCTCGACGGGTGTCGAGCGCCCAATCGAGCGTGATTTTCACCTATCCAGCACTTTTGACTGTTTTGCAGAACGCTCGAGCGGGTAATTATACGCTCGAACGGAAACCTTTGGCTGCATGTCTACTCGAGCGGAGTAACATACGCTCGAGCGTGACCCCTGTTTTCTGAAAATTCTGAAAATGCTTTTAAAGTGCATCTTTGCATCCTTATTTCATCCTAGGCATTTTTAGGCATAGTTTAAGGCATCTTAATAAGGATATAGATGTACAACACACCGAAGTAAATTAGGGATTAAGTTATTATCTTTCCCAACTGTATAGCTTAGTGTGGCGTTCGATCTGTTAACTATGTAGGTTGGCGATGGGAGCACTCTAGCTTTACTGTCAGCCCAGAACTCTGTTGAGTAACAACTGTTAAAAATTTCAAAAATGATTATCTTCTGAACAATTGTACTGCTTTCTGAACTGTTACTGTTAATTGAATGAATGTATGTCCTATATTCTGAACTGTATTGTGGCATCCTTAGCAACTACTGTTTACTGTTACTGTTACAGAGATCTCTGTCGGTTCCCTTGTTGGAACCACTACTGTTACTGATTGATGGCCATCATTTACTGTTCGGTCTTTTAAGACCTACTGTTTACTGTACTGTTATGCTAATGGATGTACCACATATGACTGTATCGACTGAATGACTGAAATACTAATTTAACGAACTGTTTTAATTACTGTAAGGACATTCATTCTTAACCCCTTTACGCATTGTGTTATACACTGGGCTTTAGCTCACTGCTCATATATATATGTAGGTGTACAGGCACCAGACCGCAGCTAGGAGCGTCGGGGTAAACTCCAGTTTTGTCGAGGCAACCTATGTGCCTCAATGCGAGGTTCCGAGCCTGTCAAGCTACGGCTTAGGGGTGTTTTTAATTTCCCCCTTCAGTTTCTGTAACTGTTTTGTTTACTGTACGATACTGTTTAATAGGGATTAGGTCCCTGAACTGAATGATTGTATATTTGTACATACTATTTGTCTGACTGTATATATTTGAATGAAAAGTCTTTTTGCATACAGACTGTCACAGCTCATTGGACATTGTTTATTTACTGTATTGGCTTCCGCCAGCCCCTGTACTTTGTATTACTGTATTACTATTAAGCAGGCCTTCGGTAATCTTGGATTACTGGCCGGTTACGGTGCTAAACCCATAGGGCCAATCCTACACTAATCTATGGATTATTAATCCCTCACTATTAATTCTAATAATTAAACATACCCTTAGAGTGTAGTAATTATGGTATGTGAAAATCCAAATTATCAATATTTTTCCATGATTAAGATGCAAATATGATTCAGATAAGAATTATATGGCTATGGAATTCCAAGACTTTGACTTCCAAGTCCAACTGAAGGGTAGAAAGTCAATATCCATACAAAAGTCCAGCTGAAGACATAACTGTCCTGTAAGAGTTCTTCGGCATTCATTTATAAAAACAGATGGATTTCATGAATTAGACATTACACCATCAATGGAAGGCCTCAAAATACCTTTCTTATTTTCCTCTTTTTTTTCCATCTTAATAATCTCCAACGCAGTAGACAACATAACCAAAACTCAATCCATAACAAGCAAAAATACCGTTGTTTCATCTGGTGGAAGCTTTGAGATGGGTTTTTTCAGCCTTGGCAATTCCCAGAATACATACTTGGGAATATGGTACAAGAAAATTTCTGTGAGGACTGTTGTATGGGTTGCCAATAGAGAAATTCCACTTGTCAATTTCTCAGGCATCTTAACAGTACTTGACCCTGGAATTCTTTCCCTTGTCAATGGTACTAACAGTCTCATTTGGTCACCCAATGTGATGTGGGTTGGAAGACATACTGTTGCACAACTTATGGAGTCAGGAAATCTTGTTGTGAAAGATGTGAATGATAATATTTTGTGGCAAAGCTTTGATTATCCGTGTGATACTCTTTTACCAAGCATGAAGCTTGGAAAGAATTTTGTAACGGGCCAAGAGTGGCACCTCTCTTCATGGAAGAGCAGTGATGATCCAGCTCATGGTGATTTTTCCTTTTGGTGTGATCCCCAAGGATATCCACAACTTATTTTGAGAAATGGTTCCATTGAGTTACATCGATTTGGACCATGGAATGGTATCGGATTCACTGGGATTCCAAACGTTAAACCAAACCCCATCTACAAATATGGAATGGTTTATACGAATGAGGAGGTGTATTATGGTTATGAACTCATCAGCTTAGTTGTTTCGAGGCTTACTCTAAGTCATGACGATGTTATACAACGTTGGATATGGATTGATCGAACACAAGAATAGGTCCTTTACTTGACTACAACAACTGATAACTGCGATAATTATAAACTATGTGGTCCAAATGGTAAACGTAATGTTGAAAACTCGCCAGTATGTGGCTGTTTGAATAAATTTGTACCCCAGAACCAAACGGAATGGGGAAATGGAAATTGGTCTAATGGGTGTGTTCGAAGGACAATGTTGGATTGCCATAACGCAGATGGATTTCTCAAGTATTCGCGATATAAGATGCCAGACACACGAAACTCCTGGTTTGACAAGAGAATGACCCTAATGTTGTGTTTGATTGGGGGATTTGGAAAGGGAAAGGGAAAAGGTGTGTGAAACTAGGTGAAATGTAGGTATATTTTATTCACATTTCACCTAACTTTTCCATTTCCCTTTCCAAATCCCTCCTCGAATCCCCCAACCAAACACAACATAAGGGAATGTGAGATGATGTGCTTGAAAAACTGCTCTTGTACGGCTTACGCAAATTTAGATATAACAGGCGGTGGAAGTGGTTGCTTGCTTTGGCTTGAGGAGTTGATTGATATGAAAGAGAACAGTGAAAATGGGCAAGATATTTACATAAGGATGGCTTTCTCTGAGTTGGGTAAGAATTCATACCAAACACAGATTAATTAGATTATATTATACATATGTAAGGATCATAGTTAAATATGTTGAACACTTACATTTCTTCCTCAAAAAATTCCTCTATGTTACATGTCAACCACTACAAAAAATTAAGGTTTTAGAGACCAAAATTTAGGAACAAAATTATTTTTTAGGGACCAAATATTTTTGTTACGAAAAGTATCATTATTATATTTTTATCAACGAAAATTGGACATTAGTAATGCATTATTATCTTTTTGGGATCAAATTTTTTGTCTCAAAAAATAAATCATTTTGTGACCAAATTATTTTATCCCTAAAAATGTATTTATTAGTGACATTTTCAAAATTTTGTTACTAAAAGCCTTATTTTTTACTTTTCGGGATGACCTTTTAACGACAATCCTCACAACGATAGAAATTGGTCCCTAAATGTCTTTTGCAACAAAATTTTCACTTTTAGAGACCACAAAATTTGGTCTCTAAAAGGCTTATATGTTATAGTGTACATCTAACTACAGTTTAGCAAAAAGAAGTGTCCATTTTGGTTTTTATCTTGGACTTTGATTTCTATTGTCGGTGTGTCTTGAATTCAATCTGAATGATGCTTTTTTTTTTTTTTTTTTTGAGGGGTTTTGGGCCATTGTTTGTCCCATTGTCATGCCAACAATTCCATTGTCATATGTTGTGATGGTCCTATAGAGAACAAAACAAAATTAGAAGGAAAAGAAACATTCATTTATTTAGATGTTGTCTAGATTGGGAACACTTTTCAATTGTTGTCTAGATTTGAAATGCAATCATTTATTTGCCCGAAGGAAGGTGTAGTGGCCAACTAGGCTAGGCTTAGTTGATTCAATTTGAATGATGTTTATTACCCATCCTCGGCCTGCATGGATCAACCCTATAGGTCCAACTTCTTATTTGTATTTGCGTCTATTTTGACGTGATTGGATTATTTTAAGGCTCTAGGATTATCTTGTGAACTTCTGTAAATAGGTTGTTGAGAGACAGAGAGAGAGAGAGACTTTACATTGAATGTAAAACTCTTCTGTCATTTTTTGCCCATAGACATAGGCTTATACGCGAACTACGTAAATCCTTATGTGGTAATTTTTTTGTTTTGTTTCAACTTTTCTCATCGCCTTTCCTATAACAACTTCAATATATGGGAAATGTTCAAAGGTTTGGAATCTAAAGTCTAGCTTCATGGGCAAAAAAAAAAAAAAAATCATTTAAGTTTGTTCTTTCATGGTTGTATTATCTAACTGACTTGACCATTTTTTGTTAATGGATTAAGGATTCAATAGTCCAACAAACTAGCATCAAAGGCAAGAAAATGGAGATATTGGCAGTGACATTGGCATTGTTAATTGGACTTCTTCTGATAGGCATGAGCGTAACCTTGTATCTCCAAAAAAAAAGAAAATGAAGAATTCACAACTGAACAAAGAAGGTATATATCTGATGTGTCATTCTGTGGTAAAGTCTGTAATGGAATGTTACTAGTTGGAACTAGTTTTCTCATTGTGTTTACATCCATTTCATCCCCGCTTTGCAAGAAATTTGATGAACAACCTTGAACAAGGTTGCACTGACAAAAGCCAGAAGGAAGATCTAGAGTTGCCATTGTTTGACTTAGCTGTAATAGCTAATTCCACTAGTAACTTTTCAATCAACAATAAGCTTGGAGAGTGTGGATTCGAACCTGTTTACAAGGTAACCATGTAAAGACACTTTTATGTAGTCATGAAGCCTATGTAGAAGCCATAAAACCATTCAAATTTTTTATCACTGCTTTTCTGTAAGGCTACAAACACTTTTTTTTCAAAGGAAAAGTGCATACAATGTTGTGCTACAGCAGGCTGCACCACTGCATTCATTTCTGTGTATGGGCCCACAAATTTTGTGTTCCTGTTGGCTTTTTGGCTTTCGAAGGTTATTTTTGTAATTATGAGTGTGCCAGCAAGGATCAATCAGTCCTTACAGAATTGTAATTGCCAAACAATTATTCAGACGATTGTGTTATAG